CCCTTGATCAACAACTGAATTCGAGCCGAAGAATGTAAAACTAGGCAGCGTTAGAACAGGAGAAGCAAAGTCATGGCCATTTGATCCATTAGTACCACTGAATGAGAATACAGCGGATCCATAGGAAGTTGTTGATTGTTCGGTTAGTAAAGTAGAAAATGATGATTTGCATGTGAATTTTGGCGATTGGGCATCAATTAGAACAGCAGAACCTGGACCAAAACTGATATCCTGATTCCGAGTCATGAGAGAAGAGCAGCAGGAGCCTTCATCTGAATGCACTTTTAGGCATGGCCCATCAAAATGCGGTGAGATATCCCGTACCCAAGCATGATCTGTCAAGTGTCAAAATCATAAGTTAAGAGGTCAGACAAGAAGTAAGCTGCCCAACTGCAACATACTCAACTGCTCACTGCTTGAATAAAAGAAAAAAAACTGAAAAATCTATCTCAATCAGAGAAAATCAATTTACGAATTGGATCTTTTTTTTTATGACAAGAAAAACCCGCAGCCTCTACCCTTTGGATGCGCAGTGGGTAAAACCCCTCTCTATGCATTAGCTCGCAAGCCACACTGGGAAGGTAACCCACACTAGGCAAGCCCAGTGCTACGAGCTTGACCCAGAAGGCAAACCCCTGGCTTTTGCTGGCAAGGGGTTTTGAACTTGAGACCTCCAACATGGAGTCCCACAAGCTCAAACCACTGGATCACCCCGAAGGATTTTATGAATTGGATCTTCCGAAGTTAGATTACAGCTTAGGCTAGAAAAATTCAATCAAATGACTGAGGAATTTTTGAAGATTCATCATCCTGAGAAGCAGGCTGAGAGCAGAAACAAAGTGTGGTAGCAATAGCAAATATGATATATCATGTTGTACAGATCAAAAACATGGAACAGCTGCACTTCAATAATTTCATATCCACAGGAATAAGAATAATTTTGAGAAGAATGTAACATAGCAAGTCTTTTCAGAAATTTACGGATCTGATGCAGTTACACGTCTTATGAATTCTAAATATTCTGGTTTTCACAGTTTACTATCCACTTCTACCCTTAGTAGGTTCATTCTATATTCACAAGCTTATGTGCTTGATCTATCTATCCTTTCAAATCAATTTCTGATGTCAAACACAAATAATATACATTCTTGATGCATCAAACGTCATTAATCAGTTCGATTTTCTAAGTCAAGATTATTCATCAATTCTATTTAGGTAACAAGTATAATGAATTTGATAAATATCTTGCATATTATACCTAGAATTTGCTGAGGTGTAAGCCTCTGGGAAGGATCCGTACATAACATTCCTTTAATCAACTCTTTTGCTGAAGATGATATTGTATCCCAGCGATCAGACGGAAACCGCAAATCCGCTGCCCTGACAGCATCAAAGATCTTTGACTTTGTCTTCCCCCAAAATGGTGGTATTCCACTAAGAAGAATGTAAAGAATAACACCAGTGCTCCAGATATCAGCTGCTTCATTATAACCTCCTGCCAGGACCTCAGGAGCTATATAAAATGGGCTGCCAACAGTACCATGCAAATTTTGACCTGGAACAAGAAAGTTGATGATGCATAAAATTATGAAAATAGGTATAACAATGTTGCATATTAGGTTTTTTCAAAGGAAAGGAGAAATTACCTGGCTTGATGTAAGTTGCGAGACCAAAATCAGCTAATTTTATCGGAGACGAAGAACCCTTTGTAGCCAAAAGAATGTTCTCTGGCTTAAGATCTCTGTGTACAATGCCTTTATGATGACAGTACATCACCACTTCCATTAGGTCATGGAAGAGAACCCTGGCTTCAGCCTCAGAAAATCTACCATGCCTCTCGAGCTGGTGGAAAAGTTCTCCCCCAGCACAAAGCTCCATTACTAGATGTACACAATCTTCTTCCTCGTAAACCGCCTTGAGATCTACAACATTTGGGTGGCCAGAAAGCCTGGTCATTATTTCAATTTCAAGCTTGACACTTCGCACATCCTCCTGAGTCACCAATCTATTTTTTGCAATTGATTTGCAGGCCAACACCTCTCCGTTAAACTTGTCAGAGCATGTCCTGATTATCCCAAACTGCCCCCAGCCCAGCTGTTCTCCAAGAATGTAACGATCATACAGATTAGCAGTATGACTTGCATCCAAAATGGTCCCACTCAAGTTTGCAACTTTATAGCAACATGATGTATAAAATGATGATTCAGTGTTGCTGTTGCTCTTGGCAACAGCCATACGAGAACTGAACCCAATATAACCAGAGAATACCAATAAAGATCTCAACTTCCGTTTCCCCAACCTCGAATACACTGACTACCTAGTCGAAGTTATCCTCTCCAACAACTAGGAAAACAAATTTTTCAAGTCAAATAATTGATTTTGAACCACACAAGTTTGGTCAACATACTAAAAGAAGCTTCCAACAACCAGATGGTGAAGTCTGTGTCTACATTAGCCGTTCAACTAATCTGGTCATTTTGCCCCAATAATAATAAACTCATCACATCACAAGATCATACTCTAAGCTGCAAACGTGAAAAACAGCTGGATCTGACAAGTCAAAAAAAAGTGCACAAACTCAATTTCAAGCTTACATACTGCAAATTGAAGTTCTTACTATATACAAGATAATAACTATCAGAAAAACACAGTACAAAAACAAAATTCATCTTTGGACAGATCCTACAACTATCAGTCTGTTAATAAAACGAAAACAGCAAACAACAAACACAAAGAAAAAAGATTTCATATTTCAAAAAAAAAAAAAGATATGGTACTCTACACATTTTCACAATTAAACCCAACTAGCCAATAAAATCAACAACATACGTCACCAAGAAAAACAATTTAACACCCTGATCAACTCCGACAACACAAACTAGCAAACACCCAGAAACATAAGACACAACATAAACAAAGATGGCTCCAAGAAACATATCCAAAGTTACCTCGAATACAGAAAAAGACCCAGATCCATTTTTTTTCAAGAAAACGCATAAAAAGACGAACTTTTTTTTTCAAATCAAAGGTAAAAAGATACAAATACAAAGAAAGGGTAGGCCAAAATCACGAACCCGAGAAGGGAATTGCTATAAATTTCTTTGCCCACAACCCACAGGGAGAGAAAGTCGAGAGACCACCTGTGGAGTGGGGCTGTCTGGTCGCCTTCAAAGTTGTAGCTTAAACCCAACCCCTACACAATATTAATTTGATTTCTATAGGCAGAGTCTTTTGCGTTGTGCTGTATTAGTATTTACTTTCTTGCTTTTTTTCCTTTTTCCTTTTTCGTTCTTTGTTCGTGTATATGATATTGAAATTTCATTAAATTAAATTTACATGGGTTAGAAAAAAACATATATTATCTTGAAATTTTTCATGAAATCAAGATGGTTGATTGAAAAAGAATAGTTTTGTTAGTTTAGATATACGTGTTAAAACTCTACGTCTGATTTACATGTTGAAACTCTACGTCTGATATACGTGTTGAAACTCTACGTGGTTGCTGGTTCATTATGGAAAAATTCATCTGAATTTGTGTGGTGCATGACAATTTCGAAAAAAACACATTACCAAAAGTTTTCTCATATAAAAAATTCAAAATTAAAATATTTAATACAAAAAATAACTGCATTGATATGTGTTTGATATACGTGTGAAAATCAATCAATTTGAATTCACGTTATTGCAAAGTTCACTATGGAAAAATATTTATTACTAAAAACTTTTTATATTAAAATCTCTAAATTAAAATATTTAATTAACGAAGAAACAGTTTCATCCGATGCACCACGAAAGACTTTCCTTTGGTGCTTTGTTGTTTGGTTAGGTTCCATTGCTTTTGAATTTTAAATGTTTGAATTTAATTATCATTATTTTGATACCCAATTGCCCTACCTTTCTGAGTTGTGTATGTTCGTACATAAATAATGCAGATACCCTTTGAACGTGACATCATTTGTCAGCTCACAGAATCTTAGTTTCTCATGTAGACCTAAAAATATAATCACTTTATGTGAGTATATTATTTGAATGGATAAGAATATAGGAAAGAAAGGAATTTTTTGAAATTTATAGGCCTAAATTTCTTTTTGAATTTATCTACAAAAGTCAGTTTAATACTTAAATTATCATTAACGATTTATTATGTAGATTTATTATTTAAAAATAAATTTAATATCATCCTAGATATATAATGTCATTCTCATAGTATGTTGTATATTGTACACGCTATCACATCAGAGATACATTAATGTTATGTCAGAAATTATAATTTTTTATATTTTTTTCTTTATAATTAACTTTTTTTGGTTAGCTATATTTTACACTAATTAATTATTAAAATTCTCTAATAATTATCTTCTTCTTTACAAAAATTATAAAGAAGAAACTCTCAGTAATGACCACCAAGTAAACTATCCGAAATTCGAAGCTTATTCGTGAAGAGAAAGAATTTTGTCGTTTCAAAATGAACCACAAGAAAAATGATACAGTTTGTTTCATTGATTGACTACGGAATCGAGCTTCCACCGTATCACTTGAATAAATTTGTTGTGACTTGCTAATTAGAAATATTTTTTCCTATATTCTTCAAGGAGGTTCCTTAAAAAGATAGGAATAATAAGAAATAATTTTATTTCCCTTTTCAATCAATTATTCATCATATTCATGCAAAAAGCTAATTGTAGCTTCAACGATTAAGAAACCCCCAACATTCTACCTCGTCGATGATGTAAGAAACTTTTTATTAAAAAACACAAATAAAAACCAACAAATCTTAGGTCAAGTATTACATCTGGTACTGTTTGATTATTTTTGCTATGAGGTAAGGAATTTTTTTAATTTTTTTACTTTAATAATTATTTGACGAGCGTTATTTTTATTTATTTTTAATTATCTTGTCACTTCAATTTTAGGGGCAAATTAATTTATTTTTAACTAGTAAAAATAGGTAATAGATTATTATGATAATTTAAGTGTGTAATTGATTTTTTAAGACAATTTCAAAAGAAAATCTATACCTTTTTATATGACTATATTTTTTTGAAATATATCATTTTAAACGTGATATAATATTTACGTGATTGGAGATTTTCCTTTCTTAAGTCAAAATTAAAATAAAAGTCATGAATTAATTTGTTTTTATAAATTTAAAAGTGTATTTGTCTTTTTAAATATATTCTCGGAGTAATAATCATTGGAAACGACTAATTTTGTTTCTGGAAAGTAATAATAATCCAGACAAGAAAGATAGTGATTAGTAATAAATTTGATTTCTATAATTTATTCACTAATTACAATTTTTTTTAAATCTTATAAAAAATATAATCCTCTAATTCTTCTCTTCACAATCTAAGTGTTGCTTCATTTTTGAATAAATGGATTATTCAATCTAAGTGTTGCTTCATTTTTGAATAAATGGATTACTCATTGAAATTCTCGGAGATAATTACTTCTTTGTATTTGAAAGATATACGATTCACTACTCAAGAGTCGAGTTTCTTTAAGCATTTCTCTTCTCTTTTTTCTTGTCTTATGAAGATTCCTTTATATAAGCATGAGATAAAATTCGGAGGTATTTGATCTTCTAGCAATTTTAAAATAGTTTAGACTCGAAGAATATGAATTGAACTCGTCTTAACAATTTAATCATTTGGGTTTGAACTTTATTTAAGTCATATAATTTTAACTTAAATATTAATTCAACATTATTAATGATAATTTCACTTGATAACATATCATGAATTTGAATTTAAATATAAATTTGTCAATAAAACTTCACATTTTACAAACATTTTGCGGAAAGAAAACAAATAATTAAATGAAAGAGGGGATAGAATATGTTTCTTAGATAGTTATTTTTTTTTAGTTATTATATATTCATGATTAGGATTAAATTTTGTTATATAATATTTACATGAGGTTCTCTTTAAGAAGTGCTTAGGATTAAATTTTGTTATATAATATTTACATGAGGTTCTCTTTAAGAAGTGCTCACATAAATATTCCAAAATACTATAAATTTTATTAATAATTTTTCTTCAAGCTAATGCCACCATATAAGCCGAAAAGGGGTAGAAAATTACTTATAAAATAAGTTCAGGGAGGTAATAGGACCTTAGTATAATATAAGTGTGTCTCTGAGATTTTAGGCATACATTGAGGGGGTACTTGTACATTTTCCCGAATATTTATGATAGTTTTAAAGCTTATGTATATATGTCATGTTTTCTTTTATATGAAGGGTTCCTCTTTGAATAATGAATACTGTAGCTAGATTAAGATCTCATTTAATCATAGATTGTTAAAAGAAAAAATATCAAAACTTAAAGAAGTTTAAATATCTACTCGTAGAATTTATTTAATTTTTGAAATTAAATATTTAAATCTCGAAAATAGCTTCAAGTCTCTTTTCGATTTAAAAATGACTATTGAATTATTTAAAATTTAAAAATTTGGCCCAAACTTTTATATTTGATTGAAAGTTTCCTATCTTTTACAAATGAATATAACTATTCTACTAGTTTAAATTTCAAACCCTACTTCAAACTTTTGTATTTATAAAAAAAACAATATTCAAATTAGTCTTCTATGTCTTATATTACGACGAAGTCCATACATGTTTTCAAATTCAATTCTAACTTCACTTTATGTTTTTTTTTTTGGTTAGAAAATTTAAGTTCAAACACTAAGTAAGATGCTTATTGTATTCAAACTATCAAGATAAATTTTATAATAAGTTGTCTGGTTTGAAGACAATTTATATTAAAATTAGTTATGTTAAAACTAATTATATTAAGATTAATTATATTCAAATTAGTTAATTATAGTATTATTTCAGTCATTTGGTTTGTTGTATTAAAAAACAACATGCATTTTAAAAACTCGATTCAATAGAAAACATGGTCGAGGGACCTGAGATGGTTTTTTGTTATTTTCATTATTTTATCTTAAGATGACTAATTTGATATTATTATTTCATTATCTAATAGGAATAACTTTCTATCAATACCATCAATATTGATCACCATATCAATAATATCATAATTGATCAATACTATCATGATTGATCAATACTATCAATAATAGGAATAACTTTCCCCTATATTAATTATTAATCATTGCATACTCAACATAACAATCAAATAACCCTTTAAAGTGTGGTGAAATTGTTATTTTTGCAACCAATTCAATTGATGTTTTTTTTTTATAGTTTCAGACGTATATACCAAAGTAAATAACTTACGATAAATATAGCGATATGATATATTCAAAAAGTTGAAAGCATACAAAGATGGCAAAAGTAATGTATATACCGACTATATATTATGCTACACTTTAAAAAATGAATATAGCTTGTATATACACGGGTTATACACTGAATGTATATTATGATTTATTCAAAAAGTTGAATATAACTTAATTAAATTATACATGAAATATATACTAACTATTCAATCACGACAAACTCAAAATATCTTCTAAATAAATCCAAATTTATCCTTTACTTTAAAATAAGGACAAATTTGTTTTTTTTCATAGTCTAGGGACAAACGTTGCTACTCCCCTTGAATATATTCATGATATTCATGAATCTATTTCAGGGTCTCCATTTCATTGAAATGAAACTAGAAACGACAAGAGCATATTTTATCATACTTATACAAATTTAATTTATTTCACATTATTTAGGACAAATTGATTTTGTTCCTTTTATTTTGAAATATTAATTTGTTTTTAGCTTAATAAACGTTTGACTATAGTATTTGAAAGCTTGATTTTAAACTTCAATTTTAGATCAAGTGTCTGTCTGTAAAATTAACATAAATTTTAAGAGCAAAGGACAAAATTAACATACTTTTAAAGCAATTATCATTTGTCCCTTATAAATTTATAATTACAAAAATTCTTCAAACTGATACAATAATACAAGTGTTGATACATTAATCAGATGCACTAGATACATTAATCGTTAAGTAAGATACATTACATTCTATACATGATATACTAATCTGATGCGCGAGATACATTAATTTAATGCGCGATATACATGAATTTGATGCGCTGATACATTAATCAAATGCATGGAAATGAAGGATTTTGGGAATTTGTAAAACTAACAGGGTATAATGGTAATAAGAGAACTTGAATAAGGAATTTCTGTCATTTAATCAAATTTTAATTTCAAATCATGATTTCAAATTCTAATATCTTCAATTTTGAAATGTCAAATTATAATTGATTTCTTTTTTTCTAAAAAAAGATATTGACCCATAAAT